GGTCCACGGTCACATCGTGTCATTATACCGTCCCGGTCCACGGTTCTATCGTGGGGTACAGCAACATAGGGTCAATGCTCGGCTATCTCCCGATTGCGCGCTGAAGTTGCACATGGCATCGAGCAGCTTTGCAACATCCTTCCACTTACACCCATGCCGATCACAGACGACGTCGCCGCTTTTGCCCCAGGCGGTAAACTGTATGTAGAGAATATGGTTCAAGAACGAGATGGCATTAAAGGATGCCGTTGTCGGATAAATGCACGCTGCGGCAAGAAGACAGGGTGCGCGTGCAGAGCAGTAGGGGGCTGGTGCACATCGGAATGCGGCTGCGACGCAAACTGCAGCAATTTGGTAAGAAGTAGTGACTTATCGCACGCCAATCACTCACGAAATCCAGGTTCCGCTGCTTGATTATGCGAATATCACACTGCAGGTGACAGGAGATCGAGAATATGGTGCGCAATCTGGGTGTCTTCAGATACATGTGGCTGACCTATCAAAGGCCTCTTCGCGGGGCCCCGTGGGTTTCGCAAAGACCAGATTGTGGGGCAATACACTGGGTCGTGGAGAACGGAGACCTCAATGATGGCAGACCAAGGGCAAGAAGAACACTCGCTCGGTAGACGTACGCTCATGACAAAACATAGGCTAATGATCCTGGACAACGACGCACTCAAGTCCGAAGACCTAGTCGTCAACGCCCCCGAGCCGGCGGGTGTAAACAGGTCAGCCGACGCTCGGACAGGCTTACAGACACACTGATGTGCGCGCGCTCAGGAAATCAGTAGCAAACAAAAAAAGACAAGGCAACCGGGAATGGCTTATAGAAAGAATTGAGGGCGAATACATCGGCGCAGTCGACCCGGTATATGTGACGCGAGAAGTGAACGAAGAGCACCAGAGTCGGCATCCCGTTCTTAATAACAGGGACGAGGACTGATATGCCGGTTTAGATGATACAGATGACGACAACTTCCAGAGATATCTCGTACGCTGGGTCGGGCACAGAGGGAGAACCTGGGAGTCGAAGAATTGCCTCGAAAACACGAGCACACTGGAAACTTGGTTGTCAGTACGCCGCGAGAGTGGAGAGTCGAGTACGCATAACAGGAGGGCCCCGTACGTTCTATTCGCAGGGAGAGTCGATGATCGCAGCTGCTGTGAAGAATGCAACCTCGCGAGGGCCTGGAACGAGAAAGTTTACGTCGACGCGGAGCCCGAGGGAAACGTGAGTGAATCGCGCATCGCTTGTTAGCAAGCTGACATCTCATCACTTAGTGGACAAGGTTCATGGTATGTACTGAACAACGCATGGCCTTGATAAATCTGACATGAAAAACAGAACCACAGTTGCGACGGAATTCTTGAACTCGTCAAGATCAAACTCGGCTGCGGCCATAGAGCGAGGCCGATAGTTGGACTACGAGCAAAGCGCAACATCAAAGCCGGAGAGGAGCTGACTTTCGCGTACTGGAACTGCGAGGCGCTATCCAAGGTGCCTAAACGCCGACTTATTTTATAATAAAAGCTGATGCGGATCACAGAGAGAACGCTTTGCACTGAGGACGTTAACTTCTCCGCCTCAAGACGACGCATGCCGTTGCAAGTCACGCCATTGTTCGGGGTGGCTAAAAGAGCCCCCTGTGAGTATCATGATTGAGGCAGGGCTATCAAACGGAACGATCGAGAAAGTGCGCGGATGAGGCGCGAACCGGGCCTACAAAACAAGCCGCGCAGGCACAAACAAAGCCTGTTGATCGCATTAATATATAACACAATAAGGAGCGATGATGTAACATACGTCTTTGGTACTCCATTTCAGCGACCATTTCTTGAGGTACAGGCCGTCGTGACTCTGCGACGTGTACAGGTCCAAGACAGCTGATACGCGCGTCAGTGGAAAGAATGGTAGGTTCAAGGAGCATGTACACGCACATGCTATTGTGTTCGATGATATCGTATCCGTGTGATCAGTAAGAACGCGAGCCCATCGATCCAGCGAAGAGGTCCTAAATGCCACGTAAGAAATGGAGAAAAAAGAAGTCCGCAGGACTTACCCCACATCAGGAGACAATGAACCCCTGCTTTCTAGCTTCCGCACTTCATCCGCACAGTACGCCCATTTGACAGTTACGTCTGCTACCTGAAGAAAAAATGAGAAACCTAGCCGCGCGGAGACTAAACAACACACTTTGCTGTTCACAGAGGTCATATGAGCCACCTGCCCAACCCACGCCGTAGACCACCGATCGTCGACAGGGAAGCGAATCTTAGCCCCCAACTGCGACTCATCACCCAGTACCAGGACGCTGAAAACGTAAGAAAATTATACACTCCTCGGAAACGGGCAACGCACAAATCGTCAGGGTGAACATGAAACCGCTTGTAGCTGTTCAAAACGTTCTCCACGACGCACCCCACGTCTGCACCAAATTCATCTAGAGGGCGAGGAGGAGGCTCGAGTCCGTCGTAGGGGCAATATGGATAGACAGCGCGGGGACAACGAGGAGAAAGCAGTCTGTCTTCCGCAAACATGGCGTCGAACGATAGGGGGAGTCGGGACGTTTCTATATAAGCGGAATACGGCTTCAGATTTCGACGACAAACCTTCCGTCCCGCGTCAATGACGAGAGACATTGCCCTCATGACTTGCGGCGCCTAAGTTCCTGGGAGGGAAAAGGGCGCAATTGGCAATCGGGCGCGGAATCAGATACGAAGCACAGGAATTCTGCCAAAACGGCCCAAAACACAATGAAATTGCACGATCGGCGACTTGTACGACATCAACGGGACTACATGCGAGACTGGGCACTCTGCAACTCGGAAGCAAGCGCGTCGGCCTCCGTGCGAAGGTCGGCAATGCGGCGCGGGTTTACCGCGAGAATGTGCTCATCACACCAATCCTGCGCCTCCTTGACGGTATCGAATCCGCGTCCGACCGCGCCGGAGAATCCAGAGGTCTCAGATAGCATCTCCGCACTAAAAGCCGCAATCAGGAGAGAAACAAGAATATACATTCAAGCGGCTTACCGAGTAGAGACAACATGCGTGCCGTGCCTTCCGCAGCGTACACCGTAGACGGCGTACTGGTCGGTGCCGATGGGCAGTATCTTGCCCTTGCGGCCAATGAAGTATCCTGAGGCATGTCAGCGCAGCTCGCCCAATGACCAGTGATCTCACCGTCAGGAAGTACAATGGTCTGAGTCATGGTGGCGGTCAGGGGATGGTGGGATGAGCCAAGACGCTCCAGCCGCACTGCCAGCTTTTATGAGCGTAGACGTGGCCGCACGTGGGCGTAAAGAACCGTTGCCATTGGTACAGTGGGAAAGATAAGGGCGGCATCGATCATCGACAAACGAACAGAGCGCTGTAGAGCGCTCTCAGCCTATGACCTCGTAGAGAGCGCATGAAGAACATGCAACAGGCAGCGGGCAAGAATGTGGCCTTAATACTGAGGTGACCGCTACGTGGGCGCTGCTACGGGCGAGATCCGCGGAAGACAACTGCAGAAATAGGTAGACAAACACGGCTAGCGCGACGAACAGCGCATCAGTGCCACGTGTCGCGGCTGCAGCGAGACGCTCTCGCGGCCGACGTGAGAACGCGCACGTGCTCTCCAGGCACGCGGCACAGACGCTAGAACGCGAGTTCGACAACGCGGCCACGACCGTACGCTCCCTGAAGCCACCGAGCGTGAAGTACTATCTTAGAACATGACTAGTACATCCAAAAGCGTGTTGCAGGTGCGCTTCTACCGTGGTGCTCACGATACACGGCTGAACAAAGTTCAGGAAAGGGGACTCTTGCCCGCCGAATTGCGTATGGAGGTCTACAAGCACGCAGCAATGCAAGAGCCTGTGCATATAGAAGCAGAAAACCGACGGGTCAACGATGGATGGATGAAGTTGACGAGGGTGGATCATGCGTGGCGCCAGGCAGGGCTTGAGTCGCATGCTCTGTGGGCTGAGAATGTCCTTGCGTTTGCAGACCCAGCTGCTATCGAAACCTTTGCGAAACGCGCAAGGACCGTGCCTTTAACGGCGAACATAGATCATCTACTACATGCATGCGTTTTAAAATGCACCAGCAACCCTCTGCGATTCGTGATGGGCAATCGCGGCGCATTCCTGAAGCGCGCAAAAGTGATCATCAGCTCGCTTATGCGACACCAGAACCTTTCTTCACCATTCGACGTCTTCCATCCGCTACAGTCAAAACCGTGGGCGGCAGCCTTTCACTTTGGCGTGTACAAGGACCTGACCAGGCTTACCTTCCACGTATCGGACGCAAACGACATCCCGACCCTTCTAGATTCGAGACTGGAATACCTTGAGATCGTCACCGTCGAAGCCTTCGAAACTCTCACTGAGGAAGACGACGTATTCCTGAGCTCTTACTCCCACGACTCCACCTGGAAGAGCGGCCCAATATTTGACCTGGACGTGCTCATCGATCGCATATGTATGAACACGCGTCTGCGCACGCTAGTCGTAGACACTCTCAGGCTCTCGGCCGGAGCCCATCGAAATTCGTCTCGAAACAGTCTCACAGATCTCAAGTACATCGAGCTCAGAGGTCCCGACCTTGCCGATTTATCGCGATTCCTGTCATCCATAGGATTGGGCGCCACATGTCAATATCGCATCGCGTGTCATATAAGCGATCTACAACTTCCGGTACAACTGCTCGACCTTGCAAACCTACGGGACTGCACGGAAGTTCGGGCTGTGTTCGAGGTGGCGAGACGCACACAGTGGATCACTATGGCCAGCACACACGAGGCCGCTGCCGAGCAACCCGCATTCTGTGACGGAGATGAGGGTCTTCAGAAGCATCACGCAGACGCCCCGTGCCTACAGACTCCTGCTACATGCATAACGGCTGAGAGACGCGGAAACGCCAACGTACTGCTGAGGAACGACGCCGTATCCCGTAAGGTCTGCGGGCTCGATATCGTGCGCGTAGACGCGCTCATGAGCGTGCCTTCTCACTGCATAAAGCACCTCACTATTCGCGAACTGACTCGAACGTACAACGGCGAGCGCGTTTGGCAACCAGACTCGCTGGACATTGACTTCGTACGCTCATTGCGAAGCGTAGCGACGGTCCGTATCGAGGATGAGTGGCTTGCTACCATGGTCAGCTCGGCACTCAACAGCTCCGACCTCGAAACAATCACGATCGTGTTCAGAAAAGAGTGGGAGGGAGACACTAATCATATCCTGCTTCGCAGAGCTGTCCGTGCGGCTGCAAACAAGAGCACTCACCGTGTTACGGTTGTACTCACAGGAGTTAAGCGTTGGAGAGACACAGTGGCAATCGGTCACATGCACGAGGAGGCCGGAATAGACGTCAGCGACGAGAGGCAAGAAGTGCATGGGATCGACGCGGTGAAGATGAAGGATCAATGGGAAGGCGACCTCCAAAAGAACGCGGTCAGATTGAAAGCAGCGCGGGTAAGTCAATCTCGTATACCGCAAAAGACTGCGCCTAACGCTGCACAGAGCAACGTCAAGATAATACACGCGGAGCAACTAGCAGTTGGATTGGCGTAAAAAAAACTACATTGTGTGAATGAGCCGATTCAATATGTCATACTCATTTCCTCCCGAATTGCGATATCCTTCAACTGCGAGACAAGTGAGATGAAGAACACAATCATGACATGCGACTTGAAACGGACCTCAAAATAACGAAGTATATTCTTGGCCTCCTCCAGCTCTGCCTCAGCTTGCGTTCGTTGAAAGAAAGGCTGCCCGCGCACTCGCTGATCGGCTACAGCAAGACCTTTCCTTCTCCATTCCTCCACTACTCTCCGATCGCATTCTCTTTCCACACCCCTCAGACACACGTGGTTGAGTCTCCTCAGGTGCACAGCCACCCGAAGGTGAAGGAGGCCGGACGCGCCATACCACTCTTCGCGGCATATGATGTCAGCCTGCTTGCAAGAGTGAGGGACAAAAGCCAAAGATCCGGCAACCCGCTCATCCTCAATGACAACATTTTCCATTCCGTCAAGAAGGAGGAAGAGTTCGTCACAGAACTTCGAAGTACGCAGCCAAACATCGCGACTGTCGACTGAGATCCGCAGTTCTCGAACTGTACAAGCGCGTACACGGCCAGCGTAAGACTTTATATCAAGAGTAAAAGCGTCGGAGTATTGAACTCCGTTGTCCGGCCGGTACAGGCGGGATATACGGCGGCCGCGAACAATAAGGGTAGGCTGATTTTGTTTGGGAGGGTAGATGCGATCCGGCACAACTCCCTCAGATAGGTAAGGCGCACGCGCATTGGCCCAATCCTCGAGCGGCATAATTGTGATCCAAGCCATCGTGCGGCTGCCCTCGAACATAACCGCAAGGCGTTCATTGGGGTTAATCGACGCGCAGCGCCAAACCCAGTCCGGCAACGGGTCCGTAAACGAGGGTCGACAGAATACGCAGTAAGTGGTGTCCGGTATTCCGTCAGATAAGAAAGTAAGCACAGCAGCAACGCTGCTGGGTTTCTTAATGAGTAAGAAAACCTCGGGGACGCGAACCAAGACGGGTTCTTCTTGTGCATCGGCACAAACGTCGACGCCTTCAAGCCCAAGAAGTTCAAGAGAAGCGCCTGCCGCGATATGCGCCAAGACGCTCGCGGAAACGCATGGTGCAGCTCTCCAAGCAACGATAGGTTTATCGGGAGCGTCCCTAACGCCGTAAAACTCCAAGGTGCGTAAGGAGGGGAGATCAAAATGAAGCAACGGCGTTGTGGAAGAGACGTAGAGCCTTAGAGTGTGGAGTTGCGAGAAGACGTCTACGCGAAGAGCCTTGATGATGAATGCCGCTGCGTTGTGCCGGAACGCGATTGATGAAATTCCGGAATAAACGGTGCCACAGCGCTTAAGAATTTGAAGAATGCATGAGTTGGATGCAGGGGGTCGTCCAATAACTTGCAAGTCGTCGGAGGTAGCGTTACGAAGGAGATTGTCCATATCGACAGCGCCGCCAGCGAAATCGGCCCTGTGAGCAAAACACGCGACGGCGTCCCAGGACCCAAACGTGAAGATGTTGCGCCACAAATCAGGCTCATCAACAATCCAGGCCCTAGAGACGCGATCAAGTTGCGAAAGAACCACCCAGCCCAACGACGGCCGGATTACGCCGTCGACGAGGGTCGAGCCTCCCGCAGGCATGTATCTCTGAAGACCAGAAACGAGCGCTAAAACCGCAGCCCTCTGCAGGTCAAGGGAGTCCTACATATTTAAGATAACAGAGAAAAGGTCACGATAAGCAAACGTACTGTATTAAACAACGCGCCAAAAGTTACAGCAGCCATGATGATAGTCGGAAGGAAAAGCGAGCAAGCCGCGTCAATGATCAAAACACGTGTTATTAACACGTGGAAAGGCATCGCTCCAAAAGGACGGCGTGTTCATACAGATATGAGCGGATTCAGATACTGACACGGCGTAATACATTTAACGGCCATCCACGAACAAAAGCTTCTTCCCTCTACCAGGCGGCATACTGTCGTCAATAATCCCTGCGTCCGGTGGCGGAGTGGAAGAGTCCGCGCGAGTCGATGGAGGCACGCGGAGAGGAGCAAGATCGTTACGGGCGCCTTGAAAGGACCTGATAGGATAGACGCAGCATATAGGCAAACCGAGCTGATTCCGACCCGCCAAACACCTCCTGAAGAATCGTCAATGTCGCAAACGCACCATGCGACATTGACACGTACGTGCACGGACCAGCATCCGTACGAACACATTGACCCTTCTTTTTCCTTCGGCACTCATAACAGCGCAAAGGACGTGAGGCGAGGGCCATAGTTGGCGGTGACTCATAAGAGAAAATGCAAAAAACCTGAGGGCCGTGGTTGTCAATTCGCTAAGTAATTAGTGGCTATAGTCAGTGCAGGCCTGTTAAGTGAGCCACTCAGCCACCTGGCTCTTATTGGCCTAAGCTGA